ACTGTTCCTGGGGCTGTAAATACGGGGCTTCTGAGACAGAGCATCTTTGACAGAGCAGAGAGCTTCATCTCTGAAGCTGGGTTTGGTGTGTGTGTGTGTGTGTGTGTGTGTGTGTGTACACAGATATATGTGTCTCAAGAGAGAGAGAGATTCTTTCGTGACCCCATAGGTCCTTGTTCCAGTAAACCTGTTCCATAGGGTTTCTGAGGTTGTCAGCCTTTCCAGGAGCAGTCTCGTCTTTCTCCTTGGAGAGGCTGGTGGGTTTGAGTCCCCACCCTTGTGGTGAGCAGTGCCATTATTCTCCTGTGTTACTGATGAGGAAATGAGGCTCAGGGAAGGAAAAGAAGGGAAGTGAAGAAACTTGTTCAAATGACACATGATGTAAGCACCAGAGCCAGGAAATGAGCACACAAGTCCGTCTGGTTCCGAGACACACTGAAAGTTAACATTTTAATTAAATGGCATTCTCTGGTTGTAGACAAAGTGGGCTTCTCATCTTTCGGGATAGCCTTGCATTTATAATTGGGAGCCCATGTCAAGTAAATATGGGTGACTATAAGTCATTAGTTCAAAGATGAGGCTTTCTGCTCCGATGAAGATTTATAGCCTTGGAAACCCAAAAGGGCAGTTCTGCCCAGTCTGAGAGAGTTGCTTGTTATGGGTCAGAATCGACTCGAAGGCAGGGAATTGCAATAGACAAGAGACAGAATTCTGGAGGTTCCGTGATAAAGCGCCTACTCAGTAGTTGGCCACTCACAGGGTAGTCAACTCGTAAAGTTTGAAAGCCTTATGGAGCAGCTCTGCGCTGTCCTGTGGGGGTCACTATGAGGTGAAACCAAACGATGACAACAGTTAATAGGGAATAGGAAATATAGCAGATTGTGTACTTTACCATCAGCAGGGTTTCCGTTGTTGTTATTTCAAAAGAGCAGAAAGTCAGAAGTGGTGTTTGTGTCTTGATAAAGCTATGACAGGCCTCTTCTACTGCCACTAGCCATCTGTACTAGCCACTCTGCTAGCACAGGCGCCTGACTGTGCCATGTCCCCATGAAATGAATCATTGCTATGAACAGAGTGGTCACCATCTCTATCAAAAGAAGATATCAATGTCCCATGACCACGTCTACTGGGTCAAAAAGCACTGCCTGCAATGAACAGAATCAATGTGAGCTGAAAAAGGAGGATTCTGGTGGCTTTGACACGACATCGTAAAGAGTGTCTCATGCAGACCTGCAACTAAGACATTCCGGTATAAAAGTGAAGCGCTTAAACCCCACATATTGAGAAGAAAGGGCCAAATCCACAGCAGGATGTTGTGAAGACTGAGTAAGAGAATGCATGAGTAAGAGTATGCACATGTATGTATTTATACCTGTAATCAGGGCAGGTTCATTCTGACACACACACCTTAGCACTTCCTAAAAGATGAATACACATCAAGAAGTTCTCAGAAACTATTTCATATCCTCCAGTGCAGCCTTCAGTATGGATTACAATTCAGTGTCAAGAAAACCCAAATCCTCCCAACTGGACCAATAGATCACATCATGGAGAAAAGATTGAAATTGTCAAAGAGTTCATTTTGCTCAGATTCACAATCGCTGCTCATGGAAGCAGCAGACAAGAAACCAAACGATATATTGCCTTGGGCAAACCTGCTGCGCCAGTCTTCTTCGAAGGGTTGAAGAGCAAGAATGTCCTTTTAAAAACTGAGGTGTGCCTGGCCCAAGCGATGGTATTTTTCATTGTTCCATATCCATGTGAATGCTGGACATTGAGGGTGAACTTCTAAATAACATCTATTCATTACCTGATTGCTTCAAGTTCTATGGTAGGCATGAGAAGACAGTCCAAGCCCATACAAGGCTTGCAAGCTAATTCTCTACAGGCTCGTCTATGCACCAAGTGCTAGAGAAGTTTTGCCTTCACCTGAAACCTATCCAATGGGCCGCAGGTTTTCACCTGCCCTTCCATATAGCTTTCTATAACAAGAAGAAAAAAGTATGACCAAACATCTCACATGCTTCATACAGCCCCAAGTCAGGCTGGGTTTCAGGAAGACTACGCTGACTGAGAAAGGAGACTCGTTGCATTAGGTCTTCAACTCTGTAGGAAGACTTTAGACACAAATGCAAAAGACATCCAGTAAAAGATCAGTCACTTATATTAAGTCAAGTTTTTATAATGAGAAAAGACATCTATGGTTTTAAAAGACAAACAAGATGACTGCAACATTAACATTATCAGTAACTAGAATACCAAAAAAAACCTACAAATCCGTAAGAAAAAAGACAAAATAACAGGAAAGTGGACAAAAGACAGAAGCAAGCAATTCTCTTAGGAATTACAAATGGGCAGTAAACATGTGAGGCAATGCTAAATAAGAAAAGATGCTTCATCTCGGGGGTCACCCAAGAAACATGAGTTAAAACAACAAAACAGTCCAGATAAGTTTGTTTAATGCAAGAGTTCGGGAAGTTTTGAAAGACTGGTGTTACCTCCTATTAGTTGCAGTGGGCAGGATTGGGTCAATGGTAGAATTTTTTGTCTTCCAGGCAGGAAACTATGTTGACTTCCTGCTCCGTGTACCTTGCGCTTAGCCATCATCTGGCTGTTATAATGTATTATTGTTCCAATGCTCAACAGATTTCAGCAGAGCTTCGACTAAGTTGAACTAGGAAGAAAGTCCCAGTGATCTACTTCCAAAAATCAGCTAATAAAAATAGGGATCACAATGCTTCCATTTGCAGCCCGTCATGGGGATGGTACATTCTGTTCCATTATGCGTAGGTTGCGGTGATTGTGGGCCCCACGCAATGGCTCCTAACAACTATATGAGTTTGGCGGGCAGGAGGTGATGGTGGGTGTTATGATAATCTACTGAGGAAAGGGTAACTCAAAAGAGCAAAAACAAAACAAAACCTGTTTCTGTCCAGTCTGTTCAGACTCATGCGGTAACCTGCCGTGTTACAGAGCAGAACTTCTCCATAGGCTTTTCATCATTGCAATCTTTTCAGAAGCAGATCACCAGGCCTTTCCTCCGGGATGCCCCTGGGTGGGTTCGAACTGCCAATCTTTTTGTTAGTAGTCAAGGACAAATTACGACACTCGGGGGCATATTGGAGAACAAAGCTCTAGGAAAACAAATTTTTAATGTACATACACTATGTCCCAGAAATTCTATATCCAACTATCTACCGTATATAACACATACATGTTCAAGCAAAGCATATACAGAAATATTCCATGAAGTATTCTTTATGATGCTAAACTGGAAATCAACTACAAAACTCACTGCCAGTAAGTCTGTTCTGACTCATAGTGACCCTGTAGGACAGGGTAGAACTACCCCTGTCGATTTCCAAGACTGTAACTCTTTACAGGAGTAGAAAGCGTCATCTTTCTCCTGGAGAACCACTGGGGCTTTCGAACTGCTGACCCTGTAATTGGCAGAGCAACACATATGCAACAAATATCCAGGGTTCCTTGGAAATAAATCCCCATGATCTAGAAAAGGCCAGATATGCAATGGCATTTACATATAACAAAATGTGTTCTAGGGTTTTTCAAAATATTGGTTTTACCCATTTAGAAAGTGGGTAAAAGAAATAAAGCACGCTGCAGAATAAGTATCATGTCTCATTGACTTAAGGACCCCTGGTGGCGTAGTGGTTACCTGTTGGGCTGCTGACCCTAAGACCAGCAGTTGGAAGCCACCTGCCCTCGGAGGGAGAAAGAGGGTTTTCTGCTTTCGTAAAGAGTTACACTCTTGGAAACACACAGGGACAGTTCCACCCTGTCCTGCAAGGTCATCGTGAATCAGTATTGACGCAGGGAAAATGAGTTTGGTTTATTATTTATACAAAAATATGTTTTAAAAGTACTCTAGCTGATATGGATATATATACAATAAGCATGTTTTTTGGTGTAAAAAAAATTCAACAGGTGTATTTGTAGTATTAGAGGTTAGACAGAGATCCCACAAGAATATTAGGGCTTTTTTACGAGGTTTTAACTTGTTTTTAAGACAAATGTATTTGTGCTTAAAATATATATTTTTTAAATAAGAATTCAATGTATTGGAACAAAAAGGAAAATGTATACCTGAAGAAGCATCCTTACCAACTTACCAACATGAGTTCCAATATAAGGCCTCATATGGTCTTGGCTTTTTGAGGAACTCAGTAATAGTAACTGATAATAAAGCAAAGTTGTATTAGAAAGTTCTTGAATTAAGATTCTTGCTGGGAGGTTTCTGTTACTAACTCACTGCATGGTACAATGTATTATTTTTTAACCAATAAGCTTAGACGGCCTTATAAGCTTAGAATTTGTTATATTAGAAAGAACAGAGAAGAAAACTGCTGAGGAAGGCGGGTCTATTCATAATAACTAATTTGCAAAACTTTACACTGACATTTTGCAGCATAAAAATAAACACTAAAATATAACTGCATCTAACATCAACTCTTTCTGTATTGATCCTACATTGTCTTAACAGTCTTAACAAGAAGTCTCCATCCAGTTGAGCCCAACTCATGACAACCAGATGTGTGTCAGGGTATAACTGTGCTCTAGTGGGCTTTCAAAAGCCTTGCTTCCGAGATGGCTCTGGATGGACTCAAACCTCTAATCTTTAGGTTAGCAGCTCAACACATAAACTTGATGCACCCCCGAGGAGCTCCTGGGAAAACCTTGGCAAACACTAGGACCTAGAAGAGAATGAGCTGCACTATTCTTAAAATGCATTAGAAAGGTAGTTTATTAACTCTCCAGTTCACTGGTGGGATTGCTCTGTAACAGTTAGGAATAAAAAAAATGAAAGGCACGTTTTCTCAACTATAAAATTTTGGGATTCCTTGAAATGAAAATGAAACAGAAGGCAATTTTTTAGTTAAGAAGAAAATAGAATCAGTGGGCAATTTTTTTAAGTAGTGAGGAAACTGTCAATCCCTACTTCCCTAGTAAAGAAAAATAAAAGATAATTTCATCTCACATACCCAGCCTCCATTTTGTCTTATCCATTCCGCTGTATTGTTCATTATGAACTCGGCAACAAAATAAGAAATCTTCTTGTACGTATCCACAGCCGGAGCAATCCGCTCCCTTAGAAGTTTCTTGATGAGAACCCCTGCAAATGCAAATATCGTCACAATTCTTCCCCAGTTAACGATGCCGTCTTCGAATTCCTTTTCCATCACTTGGTTGAAGACAGTTCTGGCAGTGTCTAGGGAGACAACATCTAAATGGTCCAAGCATGGTTGCAAATTCTTCTCCACTTGCTTTTGCACGGAGAACGCAACCTTTTGCAGCACTCTAGACGTTTTGCTGGGACAGGCTTCGGGTTGAGGTATCTGCAGGACGTGCTTCAGATAGTCCTGGGCCAGCTTGTAAATATAACTAAACTCACAGTCTGTCATCTTCAGTGCAGTGGAGAAAAGTCGGGAGCTCGTTCACCTGGACGCTTTTGAGGCAATTTGAAGTCAAGGCTCACAGATCTTGACAGTGAGTGATGACACATACTGGTATCTGGAATTTCTGTTTGCATCACATTGCAGTATCCTTCCTCCTAAACGCTCACAGCGTAGGCTGTGTGAAAGAGAAAGTTTAAAAGGCGAAAGAAGAAAATGTTTAGAGAGAGGCCACTTCCTCATTCTCTGCGTTTTATTCAGCATGAAAATGTCCAATGCAGCCAGCCCCGTGACTTAAAGTATCGTCGAAAACGACTGCCCGCATGGCTGACGGAGACCGGGAAATCTTGACAATGTTATCCCTGGGGCTTTTGTCCTTGAGACGATGCCATACGGGCAGGGAAGATGAAAATCTCTCCCTTTGGTTTCCGGCTCTTTTGGGTGGGTGGAGAGGCTGGGGGTGGTTTTCATCTCTTGTCTTAATGATGTAGCGCTGTTACAGCAGAAATACCACGGAGGAGTGGCCTTGACAGACAGATTTCTCTCCTGTTTAGGAGGTTCGAAGCCCACCTTTGAGGTTCCAGTTTGGGGCTGTTGGCTCAGAGGGAGCCCTCTTGTCTCTTCAACTTCTGCTCCTGGCTCCTTGGAGTCTTCCACGTGTCGGGGCCACCGACTTTAAACCCTCCGGCCTCCACTCCTGGGCTTATTTACGTTCTAGGAGCCCTGGCAGTGCCAACGCCCATACAGAGCTACCATCTCAGAAAACCCAGACGTTCGACTCTGCCCTGTAGGGCCACTATGAGTTGGAATTGACTCAGCAGTGAGCTTGGAGGATTTGAGGAAAGGGAGTTTCTTGGTATAGCTCCACATTGACCGGGTCCAGTGACAGTTCTAGTAACATGACGCTAATCCTGCCTTGTTAATGTGACAAAACAACCCATTCCCACATAGGACTGTAACCACAGGCATTGTTGTTGTGGCTCTTAGGGACCATCAAGTCGGTTCCCCAAGTGCCACAGGACAAAACACCGCCCGACACCACCCTCACAACCCTTCCTGTGTTTGAACTCGTTGTGGCAAGAGGAGATGGCGAGCCACACGGGCCGTGAGGGAGGGAAACCAGAGGCCTTGGGGGTGGCGGGATATCTGGAAGGAGGATCTCAACAGCCCGGGACAAGGTCATCTGAAACCTGCAGGCATCAGACTCCTCGGCCGATTCTAAATCGCAAGGTCATCCAAACCAAGACTCTTCTCGCTGATCATTGATGCCTACTCCCTTGTCCATGCCCACGCAGGGCCCAGTCGTCAGGAGAACATGACCAGGTTTACGACTGGATCTGAGAAATAGGACCAGACCAGGACTGGTCTGTCCACGACTCGGAGATGCAGACAAGCCAAGAACCCGACACCTGATTAAAAAAAAGAAAAAAAATACCCAGTTCATTCAGCAGCAGCTCACTAGAGCCCCACCTGATGCGCCAGGGGGTTTTCTTTCCTTTCCAAATAAATTTTGCTTTCTGCTGGCCCTTTGTGGTCAGGGAGCCCATCCTTTGGTTCCTGAGACCAAGAGCCCCTGAGCATGCTTCCCATCTGGGCCCAGGTGGGAAGTCCACCTGGGTGCACAGACTAGGCCCAGCCACATGACATCATCCAGGTGTACTTCAATTCAGCCAATGAGGTTGGCCAACTGGGCCGCAGGAAGGTTAAGTCTCTCTCTCAAAGTGTTCTTTTGAGATTGCCTGCTCTTGGCCTCTGGGATTTCCTGTGAATACCTGTAACTTCCCCTTTCCTCTTAAAAGTCACTTGGATTTACAAAAGGGCTTCTGCAGCGTGAATTCTTTCAGCGTTGAGAAGCAAGAACCGAGGTAGAAACCACTCCAGAAACTAACAATCCCTCCTTAAAGCACAACCAAAATAAGTGAGACAAAGTCTCACCATTCTCACTCCGAAGGACCATCCTGGCTGTACTTCTTCCGCAAAAGATTTGTTTGTTCTTCTGGCAGCCCATAGCATTGTAACACTCTTTGACAACACCGTAATCCAAAGGCATGGTTCTTCCCCAGGCTTCCTTAATCACGACCCGCTCTCACATGCAGGTGAGCTGATGGAAAATGCCCTGGCGTGGGTCAGGGGCACCCCTAAGTCCTCCAAAGGACAGTTTTTCTGTTTAACACTTGAAAGGGATCTTTTGCAGCACATTTGTCCAATGCAATATATGATCTGGCTTTGTGACGGCCTTTCCCATGCACGTTGACTGTGGATCCAAGTAAAATGAAATCCTTGACAACTTCTATTTATTGTGTTGCTGTGTTTGTGCCACTAGACAGCTCCATCCCTGACTACATGCAGGAATAGCAATGGGGACGTTTAGGGTGCTCACCTTTTAGGCACAACGCTGAAGACTAAAAGGGTGTCTGAGTTGCTCAGCCAGCAGACCTGGGATATGCATCTCTGGAAGAAAGGGGGACTGAGCGGATGGTTTATAACCTGTCCTTCTCTCTTTATTTAACAGAGACATATTCATCTGCTCTATGTCAGGACCCCTGTTAGTCTTGTGACTATCTGTATGGTGTGTGTGTTTATGTATACAAGATAGGCAGGATAGGCAATCTTATGGAGACATCGACTGGTTTGATGGTTCCTGGGCTGGGGAGGGCATGGGATGGGAGGAAAGGAGGGGAGGGTGAGCAGGGAGCCAAAGTACAGAATAATGGTAAGTGTTCTAAAATTGATGACGAGGAGGGTGTGCTTTTCTGGTCATGTTTGATCAATTGAGTTGTATCTGAAAGGAATTACTGAGAGGTGAAGGATGGGTAAACAAGAGGAGAGAAGAAAAAAATATATATCAGTATATACAAGATATATATTATGTGTGTACTTGTTTATATATGTATATATATGCAAATGCAACAAGGAAGCAAATGGACTTTGGCACAATCGCTGAAGACAAAATGGGTGCATAAGCAAGTGTGTGGAAGAAAGCTGATGGTGCCTAGCTATTAAAAGATATGACAAAATACCCATTTATAAACTATCAAGGGCTCATGAGGGAGGAGGGAGGGGGGAGGGAGGGGAAAAATGAGGACCTAATGCCGGGGGTTTAAGTGGAGAGAAAATGTTTTGAGAATGATGTCCAAATGCGCTTTACACAATTGATGTGTGTATGGATTGTGATAAGAGCTGTATGAGCCTCTAATAAAATGATTTTTTTAAAAAAGGCCGGAGCCTTATAAAGGTTGAGAACCACTGTTCTAGATTATACCTGTTGATCAAAAAAAGCATGAAACATCTGTGCTGTTTTCTCTCCTCAAATCTTAGAGCATGTTAAGAACCAGCAAAATAATGGGAAGAGTGTGTCCCTCCACCCCACTAAAATCCCACATGCAGTTTAAGAGTTGCAATTTAGCATGCTGGGAATAAGGCCTATCTTTTCTTTCTCTTGTCCCAGAGCCCAAACCAGACCCAGGGAAGAGAGGTATCAAGCTTTGTTGAACAAATGAAATGTACTTACATCACAACTGAAGTTAGTTAGAGCTTTATATTCCTGCCTTTCTGTATCCAAAAATGTGGGCAAGAAAAAGACAAAATCCTCTCCACTGCCGCTCTCCCACGCATACCAAGAAGGATTTCTTCATAAGTAAAGTGCAAAAGGGCTGAGCTAGAGTTGGGTAGAGTGAGGTAGAATTGGGTGGAATAGGGTAGATAGAAGTGTGGGTAATGAATTAGGTATGAAGACATAGTGGGTATCCTTTTTTTAATTAAAACATTTTATTAGGGGCTCTTAAAGCTCTTATAACAATCCATATATCAGTTATATCGAGCATATTTGTACATATGTTGACATTATTTTCTAAACATTTACTTTTTATTGAGCCCTTGGTATCAGCTCCTCTTTTTTCCCTCTCCCTCAAACCTCATGACCCCTTGATAAATTATAAATTATTATTAATTTCTATATATTACACCAACTGCTGTCTCCCTTCTCCCATGGTTTCTGTTGTTCATCCCCCTGGGGAGGGGGGTGATGTTATGTGTAGATCATTGTGATTGGTTCCATCTTCTTCCCTGCCTCCTCACCTTCCCCGTGCCCTCCTGGTATTGCTACTCCCATTCCTGTTCCTGGATCCAGTGTGTCATGAGCTCTTATCTCTTATCTGTACCTGTGCACATGCTCCGGTCTATCCCTCAGTGAAAGGCAGGACTGGGGTCATGATAGAGGGGGGTGAGGAAGCCTGAGGAACCAGAGGAATACTGTGTGTTTCATTGGTGTTATACTGCACTCTGGTTGACTCATCCCTTCATTGTGACCCTTCTGTGAGGAGATGTCCTATTGTCTACAGATGGGTTTTGGGTCTCTGCTCCAACCTCCCTCATTCTTAACAATATGATTTGGGTTTTTTGTTGTTGTTTATTTCTTTGCTTGTTTGGGGTCTTGTGATGCCTGTTACCCGATCCCATCAACACCTCATGTTGCTGTGCTTCTTCCATGTGGGCTTGTTGCTTCTCTGCTAGATGGTTGCGTGTTTGAATTCAAGCTTAAAGCTTTAACTTTAAGACCAGATGCATATATTTTTTTGATAGCTGGGCACCATCCACTTTCTTCATCACATTTGCTTATGCATTCATTTTGTCTTCAGTGATCATGCTGGGAGGGTGAGCATCACAGAATGCCAGTTTTTTAAAACAAAGTGTTCATGCATTGAGGGAGGGCATGAGCAGAGGCCTGAAGTCCGTCCACTACCTCAGTGTATTATATAAATATAAGTATATAGGCCAATACCTCTATTTTTATGAATTAATGTATTTACATATGTACACACCTATCTTTGCTTCCTAGATCTTTCCTCTGTTTCCTTTTACTGTTCTCCTGCCCCACCATCACACTCGCCCTTCTTCTGCTTCTTAGTAATTCCTCTCAGCTAGAGGTGTCTTTTTTAATGCCACTGAGATCTGAATCTGCATCCACAGGATGATATGTAGTCCTATAAAAACCAGCTCATGTTCCATCCTCCGAGGTATTTTTTCCACACCTGGGCTTTTGTGTGAAATTATAAATCTACCCTGAATACAAGAAGAAAACAGCCAGAAAAAAAAGGTTGCTACTATGTACCAGGAAC